TTCCCTCTCCAGCTAAAATCGTTGGATCGGCTCCCTCGGTTTTCCAGGATCCTTCCCAAGTTGTTATGTGGCAGGAGAAAGAGAGAATAGAAGGACAAGGTCGAAATGAAACCACGACTGATGTGTCTCCAACTTGGCTTTTTCTTCATCCTTCTTTATAGTACAAGGGTATCCCTGCATTCCTGCTTCTGATGAGATGAGAATGGATCTGCATGAGCTTACATGTTGAATTGCATGTCTCCTGTCAGTAACGCAAAAAAACTCCAGGTGTAATCATGTACACACCTGCCATTAGCAGCTTTCTGGACAGAGCACTTTAGGTAATGTTCACTGCAAATGGACTGGGGAGGTTAAGTGCAGGGCTTTTAAAGTAGTAACCTCTCGTCCCCCTCCCCAAATCTTAGCCAACATCCAGACTCACACAGAACAGGTCTAATCTTAGGAGTGGCCCTAAAAGATAACTCTTTTGGGGTGGTATTGCTACTACTCAGAGTTTGCCCTGATAAAATCTACCAATAGGACCTATATCCAGGTTTCCACAAATGTGGGTCAAAGAGATCCCTAGCTCCCATTCAAGCTTAAGGTAATTAATGCAATTATTGAATACGAGATAGTCTTTATTTTACCCCATAGAAAATGCAGATTACACACAGAACTCACAGAAATCCATAAACAAATGCAGAAGCAACACTAAAGGACTTTACAGGAACCTGTAGACAGTCAGCACAGTTCTCCTTCCTCTCCACTGGGTCCTGTCTTTTCACAGATTCCTCCACATGCTCATACCCCACCCCCCACACCCTCTTGTAGTGCTGTGGTTTGAACTCCTCTTGGAAGGAAAACAGACTTTGTAGGTACAGGACAGGTAATATCCTTCCTGTAAGACCTGCATTGTGCAAATAGCTTACTCTAATGGAGAAGTGCAAAGTCTAGGTCATGTGTTCCTCCATATTATGTCTTTAATTCCTTGCTGCTTCTGTAGCTTCTAGAGTCTATGTGAAGATCCTCTTTTTCCAAAAGGCATTCTGCTCAGGAAATTACCCTTCTCTAGCTAGAAGGAGAAATTCCAGGATCACACTCTCTGAATAAGTCCCTATTTCTGCCTAGTGGGCCAGAGCCCAGGGCTCTCCTCTAGGTCAAATAAGTGAGCTACGCCTCCTGCTGCCACCTCCCTCCCACACTGACATAAATGGCTTCTGTTTGGGGTATAATAATCCCCCCACCACACTTGGCTTTACTTTCAGGAGCTCTCTCTCGAAGAAAAGCAAATGGAAAATAGCAGGAGAGAAGGAAATGGGATGGGATAGAACCTTGAGTCCCAGAGGAAGATTCCTTTTTAGACCAGAGTAAAGGAATACTCCACATGTCTGTATTCTCAAGAGTCTGACCTAACCTTTATTTCATCTTGGGAGTAGCCTTAGTCACTGAAGCCTACCCTCCAGAAGGCTGACTGACACCAAGGGAAGTATCCATTCCCTCTAATCAAAAGTTCTAAACAAAGCTTTCACACTTGGTTTGGATCTTCAAGGTGATCAGAGAACAACGTCTCGATTAACTCCTTACATAATTACCAAATTGTACTTCTTTCTGACTTCCTAAGGTTCTTTGCCTCTTCCATTGAATCAAAATGGCATTAAAACCCTAGGTTACCCCTGGTTCTGGATCTATTTTTTATTTATTTTCTCACACCACCTTCTTTGTTTCCTATAGTCAAAAACAAAAATCTTTTTTGTCTGTTAGATCATCATTAAATCCGGTCACTTTACTTCTTAAGTAACCATTTTGAGTGCAGTCCATTGAGCATCCGTACTTAATAATAAATTTTGATTAGTCAGACTGAAAGTAGAAAAGCTTGCAGAATTCATTTAGATTGTGTCTCTGGCATAATAAAGCAGTCTTGTAATTAATTGGTCAAGGAGGATGATGATGGTTCCTGGCAAACCAAGAACACACAGTGTGAATGTTCTCTATGTGGCCTAGGGCAGAGAGCAGATTGCTGACAGCTAGATAGACCATATAAAGAGTATATTATCTATGTATGATAAAAATTGCAAAGTCAAATACAGCCCTTGTTTTACCTTTTTTTTAATGTCAGAGATTTTGAAAGATTTCATTCTGTAATTAACAATTCTATAACTGCCTTCTAAGCAAGTCAGAGAATTTAAATTCTAACCAAATGCACGGCAATGAGCAGATCTTCCTGTTGGCTTTGGAAAGTAAGCCAGGTAGAGCACAGGTCATTATTGGGAACGACCATTCAGGTTATCAAACAAGTGGGGACAAGGAAGAAAGGAATTCTCTTTTTCATCATAGTCCCTTTAAATTATATCTACTTGATAGTATTACAACATAGGGAACATATATTAGAAAAGAACACATAGTATTTGCCTTCTTCCAGCTCCCATTATAAAACTATGTTGCACTGACTACAGATACAGGAATGCAGGCGAACAGGTAGGTGAGCAGGCAGGCTGGTAAGCCAGGCAGAACTTCAGAGACAACCGTAGAGAGGGCACAGAAGAAAACACTTTCCTGGCTTGTTATCTCATAGGAATTAAGCTGGAAGGGACCTTTGAAGTGATCTAATGTAACCCCTACATTTTACTGGTGAGAAAACTGAGGTTCTGAGAACTTTAGTAATTGACCAAAGTCACAAGGTGGATGTGTCCAAGAGGATGCAAACATAGGTCCTCTGACTTAAGACTCTGCTCTTTAGGTCGTACTGGAAAATACACGGCCCCTCGCCCAGCTGCTAAATGTCCATCTTCCCTACCTGCCATCTGTTTAACCATCTTATGTTCATCTAGATTTATATATATAGACAAATAAAAGGATGTTTAGGCCTGAATAGGTATGCACATATATGTATATATGCACACATATGTACAGGTTGTCTAACCCTATAGAATGTGAGTTCCTTCACAGCAGGGATTGTTTCATCTTTTTTGTCTCCATATTCTTAGCACTAAGCACAGTGCCTGGCACATAGTGGCTTATAATGAATGCTTATTGATTGATGAGATTGTAACTTATTGAAGTTTTCTTAAGATCTTAATCTTAATTTCATATGTTTATTATTTATTTTATTAAGTTATTAAGTTTGTAATAAAAGCTTTAAATAAAGCTGTGATTTGAACAGCTGAAAATCTATGCCTTTGTATGGTGGATTGTATGCTGGACTTGGAATCAGGAAGGTGGTGTTGTTCAGTCTTGTCCTAATCTTGAGAAATTTCTAAATCTGATGGCACACAGGGTTAAGTGACTTACCTAGGGTCACACAGCTAGAAGGATCTGAGGCTGAATTTGAACTCAGGAAGATGAGTCTTCCTGATTCCAGGTTCAGTACTCTATCTACTGTACCACCCAGCTGCCCAGAATTAGGAAGACTTGTGTTCATATCCCACCGCAGACATTTAGTGGTCTTTTTCTCACACTAGCAATTGTAGTTATATCTATTTCTTGACATCATTTCTCTGAGGTATTTACTGCGTTTTACAGACAAGAAAACTGAGGCTGAGAGAGAAGTGAAATCAGGACTTATGTAACTAATAAGTCTCAAAGCCAAGATCTAGCCCTGGGCAAGTCATATCTCAGGGCCTCAGTTTCTTAAGTGAGGGGGTTAGGTGAGATGGCCTCTGGGGTCCTTTCCATCAGCAGATCATAATCCTATGATTTGTCCTTGATCTTCATGAACTCAAAATGGAAGCTTGAGGTAAATTCCACCCCTCTTTCCACCCCTATAATTATCTAGAAAGTTAGTTTGTTTTGGAAGAACAGAAAGAAAATTTGGTTTTGAAATTGAATTAAAAGTGAAAATTAACTTTAGTACTTTATATGTCAGCAACTTCAACAAATGTCTATTAAGTAACTACAGTATGTAGAGTAATATAATAGGTGTTGGTAAGACTAGATACAAAATGTAAGTAACACATGATCCATACCTCATGGTAGAGGAATGAATATGAAGCAAACAACCCTCATGTAGAATAATGTATCATAAGTCAACAGAGCGGCAAAATTTAAAGTGCTTGCTGGGTTTCAAGGGGAAAAAGGTCTCTCTGCACATTAGGAAAGTCTTCATGGAGGAAATGGTATTGGAGTTAGGCTTTGTGAAGGCATGGTAGGAATTAAAATACATCAAATAAAATCCTTAGGATTACAAAGGAAAGTAGTTAGGTGGAAATAGTTAGGATTTTTTTTTCTAAGTTCACAGGCCCAAGTGAAGAAGGCCTGCCTTAGAGTGAGAAGCTTCAATAGAGCCGCAGAGGCAGTCTCGGTTTCAGAGACTTGAGACGATGCAGTGGTGAAAAAAGGAAGCCTCCTCTGAGGAAGACTGCTCGCGAAGTTCAGTAGTGAAGGGTAGGACAGAGGAGGAGGGAGTCCACTGGGGCAGAAGGGTAAAAAAAAAAGTCTTTTTTAAAATTTTGGAGAATAGCTAGGGATCTCTGTGGGCAGATGAGGAGGAGCCATTGGGCAGGGAGAATTCTTTGGAATATTTTGAAAACTGACTTGAAAGCACAACTCTTGATTAGATCAATTTTGGAAGAGAAAGAGATCCCACACAGTGTTTGCTGGCCAGCGTGTCTCAGTCATGACAGAAAGTGGTGCTGCTTATTGTTATCCCCTCATTCCGTTCTCTGCCAAACCCAATGACTTCTGTTCTAACATGTGGCGACTTCTTCCTTAGAGACCCAATTCTTTCCAAGTTGCCACAACATTCCAAACTAAATGCAAAACCGTCTATTCCCCTCGGCTTTTGCCAAATCTGAGTCAACCGACCAAGATTCTCACTGTCTTAGTATTTACTTCCTAGCCATTCATTTCAATCCAGCACTCATATAGAAGAGGCAGAAAATACACAATCATTTTAAGGGGTGTTTCTTGTCTGTGTTGAAACATGAATAATGGGTAAGATGATATTCCTACCAAACTTTTGAGTTGAATTTAGACCTCTTGCACCGAAAGGTTTAATATTTAGGTTAAACATTGTAACTTCACAGGTGGTGGAAGAAATTCTGGAAAGAAGAAAACAGTCACTGGAACCCAGCTAGAATCAACTAAGAGAAGCGATGTGAATAATACACATTGACAGGTAAGGCAAAAAAAATAACTCTACAGTTTTTGACTTTGGATATATAAGCAACACCTACACATTCACTCTTAACATGAATGTACATTTCTTTGGCTGACTCTCTCTCACCTCATGATTTGATCCTACTCTCCACATCCTGAGACCTGATGAGGACAAGAGGAGGTGGCCACTTGTAGATACTCAACAGTTTTGATTCACTTGTTTTGTTTTTATCTTTACCAATTGTTTAGCAAACGGGGAAGAAAAAAGGTAAATGAATGTTTTTTCTGCTCAATAGAAGAGGCAGAAAATTGCCTGAACTGACAATTTTTCCTTGGTTTATTAAGTGACTACATCTGGAGCTCACTTTGATACTCTAAATTAGATCTCTCATATTTTCAAAGAGATAGGTCATTTCTTCCTTTATTCTTTTGAAGTGTGCTGTTTTTGTTAAGTCATTTCAATCATGTCCGACTCTGTTACCCCATTTGGGGTTTTCTTGGCAAAGATACTAGAGTGGTTTGCATTTCCTTCTCCAGCTCATTTTACAGGTGAGGAAACCGAGGCAAACAGGGTAAAGTGACGCAGGGCCTCACAGCTACTAAGTGTCTGGAGGCCGAATTTGAACCTAAGACTTACTGACTCTATTCCTGGCACTTTAACCACTCCGCCACCTAGCTGCCCTTTGAAGTTTGCTACCTTCTGCTTAAAGAAAAAATTAGTTTTTATAGAGTGGTGTTTCCATTTCTTTTATAAAAACAAATAGACTTTCATTTCAGTGAATGCAGTTATAATGTCTAATTTAGGGGGGTTGATTGTTTGTTGGGTCCATATTTGTGATTTTATGAGGAACTCCCATTGTAGAAACTGGATCTGCCAATGCATATCACCATCTTGTCTATAACTCAACATCTTAGAAATTATTTCCATGTTTCTGTTGATGATACTAACCCATAGTACTTTGCTAAAGTGAATATAGACATGGAAGTAAACAATATACAGTCCTGCAAAAGAACACATAGCTTAAAATTGTTTAACTAACACCATGAAGTCTGTGGGAAGTTGGGGAATAGGGATCTGTAACCAAGATTTGATAAACTTACTTCAGAAAAGTATATTTAAACATAAAATATCATAGTAGAATTAATGGCCAATGGCTGACCTACCAGGTAAATATGAAATAAAATGCCATGTAAGTGAAACAGCTTACATGGGTGTGTAAATTACATATGTGATGTCAGATCACATGCATGTATATATACATGCAATATATGCATATATGTAAAACTGTAGTATGTATGTAAATCCATGTAACTTAAACTCACCAAGCTGTAAAGTGAATTTTACTTGAAGCACAGATGATAATAACTCACATTTAGGTGGTGCTTTAAATCTTACAAAGAACTTTTCCCACAACTCTGTAAAGTAGATAATGCATTTTACAGATACGGAAATTGAGACTGAAAAAAGGATCAAATGACTTGTCCAGGTCAACACAAGTATCTGGAGTCAAAATTTGAACCCAGGTATCCCAATCACATATATTCACACGTCTTTCAATGATGTTTAATGATGATATCTGTTACAATTTACACCTAGTAATTTAATTGAAATTTTTTTCAACCCGGACCATGATTTTATTGGTTGTGCAGCACTCCAGATGAAGAAATACTCTCTTCTATGGGTCACTGTTATACAGCTTACAGTCATTAAAAAAAAAAAAAACTTTTTTGGAAGTGATTAGCCCAGGGTTATACTTCTAGTATGATTCAGAAGTGGGACTTGAACCTAGGTCTTCTGAGTCTAAGACCAACTCTATATCAACTCTGCGTGCTGCCTCTCACAGTAGTTTTGGTGGAATACTTGAAAAATGTTGTATACTAGATATGTGTACGTATTTGCACATATATGTATACAGAGATATCTATATACATATATGTGTATACATATATCCATACATCCATATATCTATCTGTATATATGTATAAAACATTATTCAAGTACTCCAAAATTATTGTGTGTATATATTGTATATGTGTGTGTGTGTGTGTATGTGTGTGTGTGTATATATATATATATATATACACACACACAGATATCTATGTATGTATACATACACACATGACACCTTATGCAAGTAGTCCCTGTATGATATATAATATATAGGAATACTTGAAGTCTTCCCCGGTGAAAGAGGCTGAGGGACAGAAGCAGATCCTGTGCCCCCTAGGCAGAAGGTACAGAGGTGGGGGTGGGGGTGGGGAGTAAAAGAGGAGAGAACACCTTTCTAGAGAAGAAACAGTAAAGCGGTGAACATAACCCAGATACAGGGAGGAGATTTGGAACAGAGCATCGTAAGTGGAGGCTCCAAGCCAGAATGGACTGAATTCCCTGAAGAGACGTCTGTTCATCCATATGTAGCCCCCTCCTCAGGAGAAGATCTCTACTTCTGAGGGAAAACCCAGACACAAGGACAAACCTCAGTGTTACTTATTGAAACTCTAAGACTAAACAAAGCCCAAGTGAGTCTGCAGTTATGATTGTGGGCCATGTCTACGTGTACGTCTGTGTGAGCATGTGTGTACACATATATATGTTTTATATTTTGGGGTATTTTACTGTTTCTCTGCATATTTCATAAAATTATAGCGTGTTAAAGCCATAAGAGAACTTCTTGTTATTTCCAGTCACGTCTGACCCTTTGTGACCCCATTTGGTGTTTTTTTTGGGCAGAGATACTAGAGTTGTTTGCCATTACTTTCTGCAGCTCATTTTACAGATGAGGAAACTGAGGCAAACAGGGTTAAGTGACTTACTCAGGGTCACACAGCTAGTAAGTGTCTGAGGTCATATTTGAACTTGGGAAGAGGAGTCTTCCTGACTCCGGGCCTGGCACTCTATCTACTGTGCCATCTAGCTGCCCATTTGTTAAATTAGTAAATGAATTAACACATTTAATATCTCACACTTCTCTTGAAAGGTAAGCGCTGGTATATTTATGACCCTTTATTATATATTGATAGTAGCTGAGGTTTATATGGTGTTTTGTGTACATTATCTCATGGATGTGCGAAGGAATCCTCACTGAAAAATGTATTGGCTTTAAAATGTTTATTTTCCATTCCCTCAACCCTAAAGTTGTCTTCTTCTGCCCTCCCCTATTATCACTGTCACTAGAAATTGGGTGAAGCGATTCTTATTTCATCTAGTTTATCTCTTCCATGGCCAATATCATTTTTAGCTACCACAACCTGAGCACCATGAACACAAACAACCTTTAGGTCTACTGGGGTTTGGGAGCCAGGAGGGAGAACCTCAGTTGTAGGTTATAAGATTAAAGAAGGAAAACCAATGAATTCAGTCCTCCAATATCTGTCATTACCCCTTCCAACAGCATAAGGGGGAAAATGGTAATGGTAACTACACAGCATCTCCTTCCGTACATCGTGGATTCAGTGTCCTCCTATATAAAATGAGGAGATTATATCATCATGTGATATATTACCCTATATATCCTATAGATATATATGCACACCCTGATAGAATATGGATATTATTATATATAGTTGTTATATATATATATATATATATATATATATGTAGTTGTAATTTCTGATGATTATTAAATATAGTACTGCTCTGAGGTGAATCTTTTAGTTGCATTACCAGGACCTATAGGAAACCATTGGACTATGAAAACAGACCAAGAAAGCAGTACACTTGTGTGGCCTATGAGGCAAGGGTGAAAGAGTGTTCAGGCGGAATGTGACAAAGACTCTTTTCTTGACCCAGAACATCCCTCAAAGTCTAGAAGAGTATTCTCTCCCAGTCCCCTCCATCTGGAAGGATCCCAAGGAACGCTCTTCAGTCTTGAGTATAAGTTAGATTTACAAAAGCCAGGAAAATTCCTCCCTTTATGGACCAGTATTGGTTTCGTGGTCACCTTGTAGTCCTTACTGAAAGCCACCCAGCCATGGAGTTCTCCTCTCTGCCATACTAGAGAGATAGCAAGAGTGGCTTTATTGTTGTTGCTGTTGTTCGTTCCGTCATATCCAAATCTCCATGACCCCATTCAGGGTTTTCTTGGCAAAGATACTGGAGTGGTTTGCCATTTCCTTCTGTAGTTCATTTTACAGATGATGAAACTGAGATAAACATGGTAAAGTGACTTGCCCAGGGTCACACAGCTAGTAAGTGTCTGAGGCTGGATTTGAGCTCAGGAAGATGCAAGCCCAGTGCTCTATCCACTGCACTATCTAGTTGCCAGTACTCTCACTACCAAGGAAATAATCTGAGTGCTGTGAGTACTGAAAGTGATTGAAAAAAAACACTTCTTGTTGCATGCCCAGTTATTCCAGCATATCACCCAACTATTCCATGAGGCAGTCCAACCTAATAGAAACTTGCCATGAGCAAGTCAGGGGTGACATGACCAAGCTCTAGTCCTGTGGGTCATTTGAGTCATGTTAATTTTTTGAGGAAGCTGGGTCCAGGTGACCCTCCCAGGGCTTTTTTCAGGGGAACTGTGCCAAGAACTTAGAGGGATCTCTGTCTTTAGGCTTCACAGACTAAAGACTTTTTAGTTTAACTGAACCTTTTATACAGTGCTGAGAATGGTCCCTCTAGACCCACAGGACACTCCCCACCCATCTACTCACCCCATCACTTGCCAGGGGAACTGTGTTTATTTGACTATGGCAGGGTGGTTGTTCAATTCTATAGCAAGATTAAATTATCTCAAGTCATTTATTGAATGACTCAGTAAGTCATATGTGGATTGGAGACTAGAACCCAGATTTCCCGACCCCTCCTTGAGTAATTTTTTCACTGCCTCCCAAATGTCACATTTGCTTTGTGTTAATAAAGCATATTTCATCAGGGAAGCTGGCAGCAGTTTTATGTGCTCAATTTTACTGCAACAATGATCAAAATTCTTTTCTATAAGCAAGCAAATCAAAGTGCAAAAAAGAGAAAAATGACTCACTTGAGGGCTTTGTGAAATTGGGAGTATATCCTGGCGGGGGTCACAGCTACTGAGCCCTTCTCTCCCTTGTACATCTTTATGGGCTGAAGATACCAACTTTTTGTCGCTGACCGCAAGATTTTAGCACTGTTATGGAGCTCTTTGTGCATTGAAGATTGAAATGAATTG